GAGGGTGGGAGCTTCAAGCCAAAGTGAGAAGAGACCTAACCAATCGCAGTAAGGATGGTATGGCTAATGGGCATCGCTGCCATTTTTAACTGTATAAATATGGAATGTGGTTGCAACCAGGTGTGCTACCTCTGTGGCAATCCAGCTAGCAGCTGAAATTGTGCAAAACCTGAAACAGACCTATATGTCATCTCTGTGTACATATATGGTGTTGCAGAGCAGATAAAGAAGTCTGTGAGACGACAGGCTGAGGCCAGGGACACCGAGCTCTCCCCATTCCCCCTCTGCACTCTGCGGACAAGCAGCATCCCTCATGTCAGGCAGCACTCACCTATCTTCTCTTGAAGTTGTCCTGCAAGAGAGAGAAGAAAAGCAGTTTCAGAGAGCGCAGGATGCATTGCAGGATGCCCCAGGGAATTAGTTGGCTAGAGTTGGGATCCTCGCAAGAAGTTCAAGTGTGTTGATGGAATAATGCAGAAGTGTACTGACTCTAAGTCGTGCCTGTGGAAATCTTGAGGGTGCTGGTGCTTCACAGTAGAAGGACGGCAGCTTGCCAAGGCCACCCAGCTGGACTTAGAAGATCTCACAGAAGGTGTCTTCTACCCACACTGATAATCCTACGCCTCAACCCTTTCCTTCCTTCCTTCCTTCTCTCCTTCCCTCCCTCTCTTTGTCATGCCTTCCATCTTCCCTGTTTCCTACATAAAATTTTATCAGAGGCATGACATTCGTGGGGATTCCACCCACACGTGAAAGCGTCAGCAGCGCATCCTGTACATGGGGACCTGCTGTCAAGAACCCAAGCATAATTTCTTCAGGACTTGCATGGACAAATCTTGTCTCACAGACAGAAACATGTCTATCTTAGAAGGCCTCTCTCCTTCAACAAGGGCAACATCCGAGACAGAAGAGACTACTTACCCATCATATCTCTCACTTGGGCTACAAAAGGAAGGGGAAAGAAAGTTAGCAAAGTGAAATCACTGGGCTCAGTCAGCACTGGGTTCCCAAGGTGGGCATTTGGCTGTCTCTGCCTTTCCTTTGCTTCACTGCATGACTACTGAGAGGAAAGGGAATTGCGGGAATGGTTGTCAAGCAAACCATGGCATCTCAGCAGCTGCAAGGCACCATGCTCCATGAGCTGCAAGGAGCATGGCTAACTGATGCATGGAGAGATGCTCAGGAGGCCACAGTTGGCAGGGAGTGCTCAGCTGTGGGCTAATGAGTTCACAAGAGGTAGGGAGAAGCATGAGAGGCTTAAGTGGAGAGCTGCCCAACTGTGTGGGAGGGTAGGAGTCCTGCCAGGCCTGGACTGTCAGTGGAGGCCACAGACTCCTTCCGCATAGCTGTCCTGCCAGGCCTGGACTGTCAGTGGAGGCCACAGACTCCTTCCGTATAGCTAAAGGAGATGAAGGCAAGGAGCCTGTAGCTGCAGGAAGGGCATTGCCCAAGAGGACAGTGAGAAGCATGGATAGGAAGAGGCAGGCTCTTTAGGAGGAACACTTTGCCATGAAACAGAGCTGGGGAGGGTGAGACCAGCCGTATGGGGAATGTTCCCTGTGACAATGGTGGACTGAATTTGATGGATGGGAGTCATTGGGAAAAGCCCATGACTTTCTGCCTGTGTGTTCCCATTGAAGATATCGTGCAAGAGTATTGATGTTATGAGTGGGAAAGAGGGAAAAAGGGAAGAGAGGGAAACAAGCAGCAAGATCTGGTGCTTTCTGGCATGGAGGAAGGGCTGTTCCAGGGACACAAATCTTTCCCCGTTCCCATCCTGCACGCAAGGGACAAGCAGCCTCCCATATGCCAGGCAGCACTCACCTGTCGTCTCTTGAAGGTGTCCTGCAAGGGAGAGGAGAAAGGCAGTTACAGGCATTGCAGGATGCATTGCAAGTATCTTGGGGAAGGGGTTTGCCAAGGCTGGTGTCCTGCCCGAATTCAAGTGCATTCATGGACAAGTGCCAGTTTGTGCTAAGGCCAAGTCCTGCCCCTGGCAACCTTGCAGGTACTGGTGCCTCACAGCAGCACAAAGGCCATGCAGCCGGACTTAAAAGACCTCAGACAAGGTGACTTCTGCCCACAATGAAAACCATATCCCTCCACCCCACCAGAGTTTCCTTCCTTCCTGCTTTCCTTCCCTCCTTCTCTTAGACATTCCTTCCCTCTTCCCTCCTTCCCACATGAGGTTCTCTCAGGGCCAAGCCATTTACACAGATTTCAGACACACCTGAAGGTTTCGGATGAGTTACCTGAACATGGCTAAGTGCTGCAGGGGCCTAAAGGACACCATGCTTGTGGGGACACCGTTGTGCCTCAGAAACCAACATGGCCCTTTGCCAGTGAGCCGCTCCCTCTACAATGGCAACACCTCAGACAGCAGAGAAGACTTACCCTTCTCGTCTTGGACGTGGGCTAGAAAAGGAAGTGGAAAGGCAGTAAGCAAAGAGAGATGACCGGGCTCAGTGCTCACTTTGGATGCAGACATGGGTGTTTCTCTAAGTCTGCATTTGCATTGCCCTAGGTGATGGTTACTGAGGGGAAAGGGATCAGAAATAATTGCAAGCTGTTGGCATGGGGCAAGCCTGGTGCCTGGAGGCTCTGCAGGAGCAGAGGCAACCCTGGGCTCTCAGCAGGTGCAAGGCAAGATGCTGCCTGAGCTTCTGGAAGCATGGCCAAGAGATGCGTGAGGCTTGGAAGGCCACAGGTGGCATTGAGTGATCATCTGTGGGCTGCTGAGTTCACAGGAGATAGGGAGGGACTGTGGAGGCCTCAGCAGAGATCTCCATAGCTGTGCAGGATGGGGGTGGAGGTGCTATGATGGGCTGGTAGGGGAGGACAAGGAATACTTTCCTGTGTCCAAGAGGAGGATAAGGGGAAGCCA